GCTCTTGCTACAATATTGCTCCTGCCTCCTCCCCCCCAGGCCCCAGGCTCTCCTCTCCCCCTCCCTGCCTCAGGCAGCCTTCCACTCTGCCTCTTCTTTCCCCTGCCCCTCCTGCCTATGGCCTCCCAGGCGCCCCCACCCCAATCACCACAAGCACCAAGCCTGCGGTGTCAATAAACAGAACATATGCTGCATTAATGTGAAAATCGTGCCCTCCACACCATTCATCCCCTCAGCCTGCCTGCCTGCTGGGGGTGGGGGTAGGGGAGGAAAGGTCAAGTGGGAACCATTAACTACCCTCCTTTTTGGTCTGCTCCATCCCCCTACCCCACCACTGTACTACTGAAAAGGGAGGAGCTTTGGGGGCATGGACAAGGTTAGGTGAGGATTTCTGAGACATTCTCCAACTGCTCCCCCCAGTCTTTCATAGAGAAACATGTGAGCATGTCCAACCATCTGCAACTCCAAAGGGAGGCCAGGTGAGACCTGAGCCCCACTCCCCAGAGAGCCACACTGCTGATAGCAGAGAGGGTCACAAGGGTCCATTCTTTTGCCAAGCCAGGAGCCCCCCTCGACTTCTGGGAACTTGTGTCAGTTTGTCTATCCAGTTATAAAAGAGGAACTAGAAGTGCCTAGGTGGGCTTGGGCTTCAGGAAGCCCTTATGGAGAGAACCACATACTTCAGATGGCCAAGGAGGGAGTGGCCTGGCCTCAGTCTACACAACTAAATCACCAGTTCCAAGACAGCGGGGAACAATAAAGATAAAAATAATATAATAACAACAGCTAACATGTATTGAGGGCTTATTTATGTACCAAACATTGTGCTATGCACTTTACAGGCTTTATCTAATTTGTTCCCCCTAAGACCCCTATGGGGAAGTTACAACTGATAGCCCCATTTCACAGCTGAGGAAAACAGCTTAGTAGGGATATAGCTATGAACTATATGCTCACAGAATACTAGGCCCTGTGATGAGACAAGGTCCATGACACTATGAGGTCTGCATCACTATTAGTGCCATCTTACAAAAGAGGAGAATGACACTGGGAGAGGCTTAGTAACTGGCCTCAAGTCACAGCAAACACTTAGAAGTTAGCCAGGAACCTGGGTCTGTCTGACGTCAAAACTGGTGCTCTTAGTCCCTCTACTCCCCCAACTCTTCTGTTTCTCTCTGCCTGCATCAGCAGGCAGTAGCCTCAGCACCACTGCCCTCCAATCTTCCTCATGCGAGGCTGCAAACACGGCGGGACAATGGAGAATGGATAGCCAGGGACTAGCCTTAGCCCAACTCCTCCCTTGCTCTATGCTCCCCCTTTGCTAAGACTGAGCTGTGCCCATCCAGCTTTGGTCCTTATTGTCATCCCTCCACCCTCTTGCCCAGCCCCGTTTGGAGGATTCACTGTGAACAGGCAAAGTGCCCCTTTAGGCTCCCAGAGCACAAAGCCATTGTGCTTGGCTCTGCAGCTCCTCACTTCTGAGACTCCAGTTGCTTTATTGATATTAACCTAACCCCCACCACTACTTCCCCACCCGCCCTGGCCCAGTCTGATGGGCAGAAATCTGCTGCCTGGGCACCACCCTGACCTCTCTTTTCCTCTTTCATTATCTACTCCCGGGCACCAGGGAGCCAGCACCAAAATTAAAACAATAACTAAG